CAGATGCTTTTCTACTGTAGTTGACAGTTGTCAAACACTTAAAAGCGCATCCAGATGGTTATAGACAGCGACACTGGTCACTGAGGACAAGGCGAGGACTCGCCAGAGAGCAGGGAACTGATAATAAGCCCCATAAGGAACCGAGGTTGTTCAGCCTGGAAGGGAAGGCCGGATGGCCTATCAGTGTCCAGTCACTCATTCATTCAGCACCCCCTTATCTAGTGCCTTTTGTGCATAAGGCACTGGGCTCAATACTGGAGACATGGTGGCCACCCAGAAAGACACGCGCCGGCCCCCGAGGACAGTATCTATGGAGAAAAACGCACTTCTGACAGCTCACATGCTTACTGCACTTAAATGGTAACAGCTGCAAAGAGCCAGACACTCTGGCAGTGCGGAGCTAGGGAAACTGCCCCAGTCTTAGTGCCCGGGCCAGGGTTCCTGTGCCAGAAGCACTTAGGCCAGGAACAAAGGAGAGCAGGAGTCAACCACGGGGCAGGAGTAGGGTGGGACTTGCGGCGAAGCCAACAGCCTGCCTGGAGGCCCTGCAGCAGGAAGGACGACGGTCAGAGGAGGTCATGGGGCCAGTGAGGCAACAGAGGAGGTGAGGCTCCGGATAACAGGAGGAGGCTGGGGAGTGGGAAGGAGGAACCAGAGCGTGCATGTGGGCCCAAGTGGAAGGCGGTGCAGGAAGGAGGCAGGTGGCAGGGAGCAAGTGAGGACCGGAGTGCAGGTAGTGAGGATGACTAGGGACAGACACCTTCAAGGGTGTGACGTAGACTCAATGTGGGCGACGCTAAAGCAGCAGAGGCCAAAGATGGCTCCACGAAGATCTGTCGAGCTCGTCTAGGTAGGCTCCGCGCTGCTTATCTGAGCGCACAGTGGAGAACCAGTAGACATGGCATCCAGAAAGAAGATTCTCAGCATTCTGGTGTCCTCACTTGGGCAGCTTCCAAGGCAGCAAACACTGAAAAAGCAGCAGAATCGTGGGGAGGATAAATTTTGCATGTTGTGTTTGAGAGGCCCTATGAGGTCCCAGTGGAGGCTCTGAGGAGGGAATTGGTTTTACGGGTCAGGAACTCAGGAGGGGAGGTCCTATCGGATGATACAAATGCAGGCGTCACTGGAGTCAGGATAGTCGTTGAAGCCACGGGAGTAGAATCCCCCCGTTGGTCACAACGCTGATGCCCACTCGTTTCACATCTCCGGAGACTTTAGAGAAGCAGGCGTGAGGTATCTATAAGAAATGATTATTTAAAACACTGCTATGTTTACTCGACACAGAAAATGATTTAGCCTGAAGCTAGCTGGTCCTCTTGCTATTCTGGGAGGTAAATGACCAAAGTACAAAGATACTCTACCTGTAGAGTGGTTCCAGGACCTGGGCCCCAGTGACAGCACCAAGTCAGGCTTTCAGCACTGAGTTAACCTTGGGAAGTTGGTAAAATCTGCAGACACTGCCTGGAAAACATCAGTGGAAAAGATGCTTTCAGGTCCATACATAAATACATATAGATTATGTGTGGCCTTTGTCTGTTGGCTTAAAAGAATCCTAAACTGTTTAATTCAGTAAGAAATAAAAACTAGAGTGATGATAATTTCCGTATTTTTTAGTTCACCTAAACGTTGAACAAGCCCACTAAGAGTTCCCAGGTCCTTCACAGCCTGTGGTATCAGTGGCACAGATCATCATACCTGCATCGGCTGCTGTTATTTCCTCCAGTGAAGTACAGAGGAGAGGAGATTGTTTTGGCATCTAATCCTGTTCCCAAAGGAGAGAATTTCAGGAAGAGCAAATCAGCTAGTTACGTGACGACACCAAGTTCATTGTGGTGTAGGTGTCCTGACGTTGTCCCCTTTTTTCTACAAATCCATACCAATTAGAAGACAACTTTGATCCTGGCTTTATGCCTGCTGTGATATCTATAAAAAAATCTGAGGAAGGAGAACTTTATTTTGAAGGAAAAGGCACTGTTTACACCTAGGAGGTCCTTCCTTCCAGGCTTCTGAGGTTTCCTAACTTTACCCGAGGAGGCCGCCCATCCAGCCCCCAGCAGGGTGGTATCCTTGGCAACCTTAGGGATGCTGTTCTCAGAGACCGGGATTTGCAGTGTGCAACCGCATGGCCATTTGCAGAGACCCCTGCCCAAGCCCCAGGTGAACTCTCCCTGATGTGGAGCTGCATCTGTACCCTCAGGAGGGGGGAAACGAAAATGAGGGGAAATTGAGGTAATGAGATGAGTAGAAGAGTGAGCATTGATTAGTTCTTCTCAGTTGAAACCTCACTTAATCACTAACAGCTTATCAGTGCTTTAATTTAACATTTTGTCTTCTTTGAAACTGTGAGTTATCTTTAGAGAACCTTCTTTTGTCAACAGTGGCTGCTATTTTGGGCCCAAAACAAAGTAGGAGAAATCAGACAAAGACATTCTTCATTTTTTCCCCTCGAAAATGTATTAGGTATAAATACATTGCTTATCTTAGAAAGAAAACTAATGCAAACTAAATTTATGTAAGTAAGCTCCTGCTCGCAAGTCAAAGCACATATCTACAAACGATTCCCTATCAGAGATCCATTACAACCTTTGCTTCAACTTATATTTTGAAGGTTTATATATTATAGTTCTTGTTGTAGATGATACAGTGAGAAAATAATAAAGCAGACTAGCACAACTGACTGATATATTGATAATTGCTTTTTTTTTAATCTGAAATCTTCTCTCAGAAAATCCAAAATGACTTTATCCCAATTTTAACTAGTTTACTTTCAGCAACACTCACATCTTGAGCAACGTGGAGTGATTCCAAGAAGGGAAGAAAGGCTTTTTTTGCTTGTCATTTTATTTGCAGGATTTGTGTCTGCACAGTGGAGAAAAATGTTCTATTTGCTTCAGAGACAGACATAGATTTCCAAGCCATTTGGCTCAAGAGATGGTTTAAATAGGAATGAATTTAATATACCTTTAATTCTCTGAAATAAGAGAATTCCAGCTGAGGTTTGGTCCAGGGCAAAGTTGGCTCTCGACACTGAAGAAAATCTATCACATTAATCCCAGAGGCTCAGAGTCCAAAGCTGCGTGAACAGAACGCTGGAGGATAGGAAGTGTGAGAAGAATGCTTTGAAAGAAACTTTAAAAACAAAATGACTGTTCAGAGAATACCAGACCTTGCAACACTTAAGCAAAGATATAAGTAATTATACTTGAGAAACATAGCTAATTAAAAATAACTCGATGCATAAAAGGAAGAAAAACTATAGAATAGCTTCTCTGCTCCACTGTTAATGTGAGATGCAATGGAATAAAATAGTAGGATTTTGTTTTTAATTTCATTTCACACGGGCATAGAAGAGATGGAGAGGAAAATTATATTGCCAGAAAATGCCAGGGTAGATTTGCTGAAGGTGTTATCATGTACTGTATTTAAAACAAAAATCTAATTGCTGTAATTTATCATAACCTCTGGTTATTAAAACGCTGCTAATTCAAAGATTTTAATAATTTGCCAGTTTTACACATAATGGCTTTTCTTAGAAGATACTGTGAAAATTTCTCATTTTGTCAGACTTTGTATGATTTTTTTTTAGGAGTTCCTAAGTAAAACTAACATGCTTTAAACATATAATTGTGTTTACATCACTAATAAAAATCGCCTGTGTTTTCCTTTTAGTTTGTTCAATGAAATATCTGAAACTGCTTTATCATTGTTGAGCCTAACGTGTGAGTGCAGGCTGCTGAATCAATTTTAATTCCCCGCATATACATCTCGCTTCAGAAGAAGCAGGGTGGACCCCACCCTTCCTTTTTGATTAGAGAAAGGATTCTTTTAATCGGAGACATTTGAAAGAAAAGAGTCTACTCACTTTGGCACAAAATTTGCTTCTTGGTCTTGAGAAATCAGACTCGTAAGACAGTCATTGAGATAAAACCACTGTTTAAAAACAAACAGTAGACAGTACCCTGTCTGGCTGGTAGGAGAAAGGTATGGAGGTAAGCAAGGGATCATACAGTACAGAAGAAAAACCTATCCCAGAATTAAAGGTGGCCACTATCAGGGGAAAGGGTGGTAGGAAGAAAGAGAGTGTACAGGGGAAGTAGCCAGAGGCAAAGTCATTTCTCTGCTGTAGATGTAGGAGGCATTGGGGAAATACAGCCCATCTCAGCGTAACACCTGGGCGGCAGCAAATTGTCTCCACCCTGGGAGAAGCGTGGTGGCTTGATCTGGTTTTTATGTACCTCAGTAAGAGCAGACTATGGTCTTACATACTAAAGGATTCTTTTTTTTTTTTTTTTTTTTTTTTTTCTTTAGGAATGCAAGAGATTTCTGTGCATTAATTTTGTATCCTGCTACTTTACCAAATTCATTGATTAGCTCTAGTAGTTTTCTTTTTTTTTTCTTGCGTTATGCGGGCCTCTCACTGTCGTGGCCTCTCCCATTTGCGGAGCACAGGCTCCGGACGCGCAGGCTCAGTGGCCATGGCTCACGGGCCCAGCCGCTCCGCGGCATGTGGGATCTTCCCGAAACGGGGCACGAACCCGCGTCTCCTGCATCGGCAGGCGGACTCTCAAGCACTGCGCCACCAGGGAAGCCCCATACTAAAGGATTCTTGAGAGTAGCAGTGTGATTTAATTCTATGTGTATTTATTAAAATATAACTTTATTTGAAAGCAAAAGAAAAAATATATAGTTTCCTAAATCACAAGTTAGCCCGACCTCCAGACCAAACCTATGTCTTTCAGTAGGTTTGTAGATTCAAGTTCTAAAGGCCAGAACTTTAAGCGGCCTTGAAGCCCAGCCCTTTGATGGGACTTGCTTAAGGTCGCAGAGCCAGAAGCAGACCCCACAGCTGCTCAGTCCTAGTCTGTGTCCTGTCTCCCCTCCTTCCCATCCTCCTCTCTGAACCTGATCCCAGGAAAGCACTTCCGCTTGCCCTTCCTTCCCAGCCCCACGCCCAGCGCCACGCTCTCTGCCTGACAAGTAACCGGGTGTTCTTCCTGCAGGTGCAAAGTTCCCCATTAAGTGGACAGCCCCCGAAGCAGCCCTGTACGGGAGGTTCACAATCAAGTCTGACGTGTGGTCTTTTGGAATCTTACTTACAGAGCTGGTCACCAAAGGAAGAGTTCCGTACCCAGGTAAGGGCAGGGCACAGCAGAAATGGGCCTGGGTGGATGCTCTCCCAGCACCATTTGGGGAATCTCCCAGCACCATTTGGGGAACCTTCACCCTGTTTGCCTTCTAAACCCCATCCTCAGCTTTCTGCCAAGCATGAGTTTGAAGCACATGGACAGGTATTTAGCCAGAGAAAAGCAGAAGTGGGAGCCCCCGTGGTAGGTAGACAAGCACCCACCGTGAATCGTGTGCCAGGATTAATGCAATTAGTAGCTGGTGAATGCTTCAGCCCACCCCAGTTCATGGGTTCTCTCCCCTCTCAGTAAGAGTGTGGGTCCCTGGCTCCCAGGGCAGAAGTGTCACTGGCAGAACCTCTGCCCAAATGGAGTTTGCAGACACTTCTGGGAAAGAGGAGAAAAGCCCTCACTGCTTTCTGATTACTCTGTAGCACTGACCCATGGAGTGAACCTGGCAGGAAGATGTCAGGACCTGCCCTCTCTGCAGGCCCCGGTTCAGAAGGCCAGAGACAACAGAGGCACATGGGAAACGCAATTTAGAAGCCACTCACTGCACGTTTCTTGGTTTTGTTTTTTGTGGGGTTTTTTGTTTGTTTGGTTTTTTTTTTTGGTGGGGGGGGGGGGGGGTTTTGGCCATGCCGTGCACCTTGCAGGATCTCAGTTCCCAGACCAGGAATTGAACCCGGGCCACTGTACTGAAAGCCCAGAATCCTAACCACTAGGCCACCAGGGAACTCCCTCACTGCACGTTTCTGAACAGTTAAGATATGCGGGGGGGGGGTGGTTTTGGCCATGCCGTGCACCTTGCAGGATCTCAGTTCCCAGACCAGGAATTGAACCCGGGCCACTGTACTGAAAGCCCAGAATCCTAACCACTAGGCCACCAGGGAACTCCCTCACTGCACGTTTCTGAACAGTTAAGATATGCTCTACAAAAGCAAGTATAGTGTAAAGCCATTGGAGATTCTTAAGCCCTGGAATTTTTCTGGATTATCAGTCATGCTCTCCAAAGAAACCACGGGTTTTAGGTTATTCTCGCCTGAATTCATTAATTTAGACAGATGGTGACATAAAGGATAATCATGCCATTTTACCTCCACGCTTTAGTGGTTATAGCGCAGGGACGATCTGCTTTCTGAAATGTTAAGGACATATTTTTCAGTTACTGTTGAGTGAAGAAAGAACCTAGCTCCCCATCATTCCCTGCCTAAGAAAGGAGCTTTTAAAAATAAAAAAGCAGCAACAGAAACGATAGTGGAGATTAATGAGGAATTGAGGGCTCTTGCAAATCCTCGGTTTGTAATCGTATCTTTGCAGTCAGAGGAGCCGGCGAGGGCCGATTAATTTGTAATCCCTTTGTTCCCTTTTTATGATTGTTTCTGGTCATCTTGGGAGAATGCAGAGAAGTAAAGAAGATCTCTTTCCGGGTTGGTCGTAGCCTCAGGACTCCTAGGAGAGCCAGGTTGGCACAGAGGCAAAATTGACAAATTCCCTGTCTCTGAAGCACCAGCACTGGGCGGTTAGAGATGCGGGCGGAAGGCAGTTTTATTGATGCTGTGGCGACTGCTGCCCCCGGCATGCACCAAGTGGGCAGCTGCTCTGGGAATAGCCAACTAGCACGGCAGAAAGGGCCGCCCCGGAGGGGCCTGGAGCACAGCACGGGCATTTTTGAATTGCTCCTCAAGGGGGAGAATGTGCAGGTCTCGGGATTTTGAAGATGTGAAGGCGCCTCTTTTTTTATTGTCTGAATTTTGAATGAATCTCTTCCTGAGTCCCCCAAGTTTCCAGCCACCCGATGTGTTAAATGCAGCTGTGGGGGAAGGTTAGCGTTTTGTGTTTCTGCGAAGCCTTTCCTTCCAGGAAGACAAAGCTGCTTTTTGTTTCTCAGGGTCACGTGCAGAAACCAAGACAAAGGGGAGAGCGGGGCGGCAGCCTCAGAGAAGGAAGGCAGGTGTGTGTTTCTGAGGGAGAGTCTTTTGTCAAGTTTGGTTCTGGCATAAAGAAAGCGGCCTCACTTTACAACTTAGGCTAGGATTTTCATTCATTCGGCGTAGCGTCAGTAAGTGTGACCGTGCCTGGCATTTTGCTCGACCTGGGAAATAAATATAAACGAGGCATTCATACTCTCAGCAAGCGTTGAGGAGAACGGTCCTCAAGCAAGACGCTGTTTTAGTGGCTGGAGCTAGAACAGTGAGCAAAGAAATGAATTCAGTCCCTGCACTCATAGAGCTTACAGTCAGATGGATAAAGTGTGCATCAAATCCAGGAAGAAATCAGCCTTTTTTCTTACTTCTCTATCATTAGAGGAAATCATCTTCGAGGGATGGAGTACTTGAACTCACCCACCGTGGGCCCCCAATCTTAAATCTGACAATGGGGGAGGGGCCCCTGATTCAGGTGTCTGCGTACAGCAGGTCCTGAGAAGGGCCTTTCACTCAGAATCCTGTGAGGATGGCAAAGGAGTTTGGAAGGGGAACCAAGTCCACTTCATTGCGCGTCGTTACACACTCTGAGCAACTGCTGACGTGCCGGGGGCTTTGATAGCCGCCCTAATTCTGCGAGGGCGGCAGAGGGAAGGGGCCACGACTGGGAAGCTCCGCCGAGAAGGCATGTGGGGTTTCCCCCTCAGGTTGAGGAAGAGGGTCCCAGACGAGGACGGGCATGCGGAAGGGCGCCCGCTCAAGGAGCCGCAGGCTTAGTCTGCGGAGGAGGCCGTGAGGCAGGGGCACCCGGGCCAGCAGCTGGAAAGCCTGGCCAGAGCCCACCGGGAGGGGCCTGGTGCTGCCACAGGGAGGCCTGGCCGGTCTGCGGCGGTGGCCGGGGGGGCCGTGGCAGCGAGGGTGTGATGGGAGCCACGGAAAGTTGTTCCCTGGCCTGCCCCTCGCCGTGGATGCGGCTCGCTTTTGTTCTTTAACACAGCTGTAATCACGTTTAATTGGACTTCTGAATCTCACCTTGAGGGATCCCTTTCACAGAGAGGGATTCCAGTTGTAGGATGATTACCTTCATGAAGAAGAACGACCGCTAAGGAGCAGTCGTTCAGCTTCACCCATTGGCGCCATGGAAGGAAGGCCCTTCCTGTCTGCGTCCTCGCCGTCTGTTGGTGCGACCGCGTGAGCATTATGTGCCGAGGGGCTGCTCCTCCGCTGCCCTGAGTCCTCGTGCCTGTGGACAGCACCCAGGACAGACCCCTAGTCCCCTTCCACCGTGACTTCCATCCTGACTTCTCAATGCAGTTATTTCTCAGGTGGCTAGAGTTTATTTGCAAGTAATTCTTGTTTCAAGAGCAGTAGGTAGAGATACATTTTTCTGAACTCTTTCATACCTGAGAGTGGCTTTCTGTCACCTTCACACACAGGAAAGTTACTTGGGCTGGTGGTGAGGATGGGGGTCAAGGGGGAAGGGAAAGTGACTTCCCCACTGCCCCATGGTGGGCTGTCATCCTCTGGTGCAGTGACCCCCTTTCATAGAATTTCCCGCTTCCGGTCTCTCCCCCCTTCCCCTCCCCCACCATTCATTCTATCACTGTCACCACCAGAGTTATCCTGGAAAACACAGACCCGCTTATCCTACTCTACTAGTTAACAAGTCCATGGCTCCCCCCTTGCCTTCCAGATAAACTCCAGAAGCCTTTGTTTGCATTGTCCTTCATACCTCTTCCCTTCAGTCATTCCACAGATATTTATTGAATACCTACTATATGCCAGGTGCTGTTTAGGCCCCAGGAGTGTAGCTGTGAACCAAAAGACAAAAACTGTCCTCCTGAACTTTTCATGCCTTAGAGGAGACAGACAATAACACAAATAAGCAAAATGTATTCAGCACTGGCTGGTGGTAATGGGTAAGGAGAAGAATAAAACGGGGACGGGGATAGAGGGTAGCAAGGGAGGACCTCCCCAGGAAGATGACGTCTGAGGAAGCGAGGCTCAGGGTCGATACCTGGGGGAGGAGCCTCCCTTCAGAGGCAACCGCAGCGCAGAGGCCCTGAAGAACCGCCGCGAGGCCCGTGTGTCTAGGGCAGAGGGAGCCAGAGGGCCAAGAGGCCCCAGGCAGATCGGTAGGTCTTCCTGGGTCACGGTGAGGGCTTTTGCTTTTACTGTTAGTGAGATGAGTGACTGATGGGCTTTGAGCGGGCGACATGACCAGACGTGATTTCTTGCTTGCCGCCTGCCAACACTTCGCACCAAGGGATCTCTCTCAAACACGCAAGTCTCTCTTCTCAGCTCCGCTCCCTGCCTCCGAATCCTTCCAAGCCCGGCCCAAACGCCCACCCCCTCCTTTGTGTGGCCTCTTCTCCATGTCTCTTCCTGGGTTGCACCTTCTGCTTGCTTCCATGCCACTGGGTACATCTCTGCTGAAACCCTTGTCTTTGTGTCTCTATTTCCCAGTAGCTCTGAACTCTGAGAAGGGGGCTCCTTTTATGTGCTCCCCATGCCCAGCACAGTGTCTGCCCCATGAGTACACTCTCAGGAAGTCTAAGTGAATGCATGGATGCATGCATGGATGCATGCATGGATGGCTATAGGCAGGGGGAGAAAAGATTATGCCTATGAGGCTTTTAAAACAAGACTTTGCCCATAGACTGCAAAGTCTTTCAGCTCTATTTCATCATCTCCACAAGTAAATATAGCATGTTTTTTCCCAGCCACAAAGTAGCCTCTGTCCCCAAAGTTGTTCCGAGAAATTGACCCCGTGATCAGTTCAGACACCACGTCCCAGCACCGTTCTAGGCAGAATGTCCCGGCCATTCAGTGCCCCGGCTCTCAACTGAACACCTGCTTTGGGAATTTGGCAGCATCTGACAAAGCAGGAACATTCCCTTAAGTGTATCACGGTTATTCATCCATTTGAAGCACTTTCAACTCTTTTAACAATTGACAGCTGCCTGGCTTCCGTGAATGCATCTAGTCACTTGATAATGACTTGAAGAGGAAGATAACTAGTGAATGTATAGCATTTTCCTTAAAGAATTAGAAGTCTCCACCTTTGTCCTCCCTCTGCCCCAC